ACATCCTACAGTGAAAATCATCAGTTAGCACAGAGTTTCCAGTAATCTTTTTGAAAAATAACAATTAAACATGAATTAACAACAATAGATCATGCGCCATTTGAAAGAAGCTTCCAGTGAAGAAACAGAGAAACAATGTGGCTGGAGGCCAGGAGAGGGTGATGGCAGGGAAGAGTAACTAAGAGGAAATAAAGGCAGAGAAGCATCACAAGATGATGTTACTTAAAAAAAATGTTATTAAAATTCTGTGATACAGTAAAAGAAACTATCATCAGAGTGAACAGACAACCTACAGAGTGGGATAAAATAATTGCAATCTATGCATCTGATGAAGGTCTAATATCCAAAGTGTACCAGGAACTTAAACAAATTTACAAGAAAAAACAATCCCACTAAAAAGTGTACAAAAGACATGAACAGACACTTATCAAAAGAAGGCATTCATGTGGCCGACAAACATATGACAAAAACTTCAACATCACTGATTATTAGAGACATGCAAATCAAAACCACAATGAGATATCATCTCAAGCCAGTAAGAATGGCGATTATTAAAAAGTCAAGTAACAACAGATGCTGGTGAGGTTGCAGAGAAATAGGAATGCTTTTATACTTTTGGTGGGAATGTAAATTAGTTCAACCATTGTGGAAGGCAGTATCATCATTCCTCAAAGATTTAGAACCAGAAACACCATTCAACCCAGCAATCCTATTACTGAGCATATACTCAAAGGAATATAAATCATTCTATTATAAAGATAAATGTACATGTATGTTCATTGAAGCACTATTCACAATAGCAAAGACATGAAGTCAACCCAAATGTCCAATATAGAATGAATAAAGAAAATGTGGTACATATACACCATGGAATACTATGCAGCCGTAAAAAGGAATGAGGTCATGTCTTCTTCAGGGACAAAGATGGAGCTGGAAGCCATTATCCTTAGCAAACTACACAGAAACAGAAAACCAGACACCACATGTTCTTACTTATAAGTGGGAGCTGAACAATGGTAACACATGAACACATGGAGGGAACAACACACCCTGGAGCCTGTCAGAGGGGCATGGTGAGGGAGAGCATCAGGAAGAACAGCTAATGGATGCTGGGCCTAATATCTAGGTGATGGGTTGATCTATGCAGCAAAACACCATGGCACAACTTTACCTATGCAACAAACCTGCGCATCCTGCACATGTACTCAGGTACTTAACAGTTGATGCATAAAATAAAATAAAAATTACAAAAGCAATATTATCTGCTATAAGAGAATGAAACACCCATGAAACAAGAATAGGATGCTATAAGTAAGGAAGAATTAGAGAAAAGAAAAACCTGCAGAGGTTTAAAATCTAATTAATGAAATCATGTTTGAAAAAGAAAAGTAAATAAATAAATAAATAAATAAAAATTTTGTTGAATTGTTTTGGTTGAGAGTTTTCAGATTAATGTCGCTCATCAACTACATAGCCAGGAAAAGAAAAACTGCCAAACTAAGGTAATGTGTTGAAACGTTTCAGAAAACTGGGGGTGAGAGTACCAAACATTTTGGAAAAAAAAAAAAAAAAAGAAAACTGATCACATACAAAGATAAAGGAATCAGTATCATGGTAGACTTCTCAAGAGCATCATAAGAGGCTAAATGATTAATTAGAGTCACAACTTTAATATTCTGATCAAAAATATTATTTAAGTAGAATTCCCTAACTAAAGTAGAATTCTAAGCTAGAACTCTAAGGTCTGGATAGAATAAGGGCATTTTGGTTGGGAATGTGCTCCAAGCTTCTGTCAAACAGAAAGAAGTTGAGAGCCCTTCCGAAAAGAGCTGTTAACCAAGAAAGAAACAAACACAGGATGCAGAAAATAGCAGATCCAACATTAGAGAAGAGGAAGACAAAATCAGAATGAGGTTTATGGGGTAGACCTAATTAAGCAACATTTAGCCCAGTCAGATTAGGCATAATGTCTGAAGCCTCAGGGAAGGCTGTAGTGAAGGGGTCTTCATAGCTAAAGTCTAAAAAATAAATTTTAGAAGATTTTATAGTTTCTGTTAGAGATTTCAAGAATCCATAACAGGTATAGACAAACATAAGTAAATGGGAAAATGGCATTATTATTAATTCAAAGAAGAACAAAAATAGTACCAGAAAAGAAATATGGTCATAATACTATAACATTCAACTCACAGTCAATAGTATTTACATGGCTATAATAACTCAAATTCTGAATATTAATATAACCAATATTTCTAAAGTTCATACACTAAAAAGAGAAAAAGAAGGAAAAGTGAAGGTGAGAAGGTGGGGAAGGAGATATACGTGGGCCAAGTCATCATCTTCCATAATAAAAAGTCAAATAATGTATGAAATTGATACATCAATAAATAGCAGATTAAGCACATATTCAGAAATATGGAAACAAATTCCAGAAGAATTAGATAAAACACAATGTAAAATGATGCGATGTGTGTGTGTGTGTGTGTGTGTGTCTGTGTGTGTGAATGTGTTACAACAAGAGATTCCCATATTTCGTTCTAAGTTTTGTAATACTTATTACACTTTACAAGTGTTACACATGAAATATATTTTCAAAGGACATTACAAAATCTTCTGTAGCTACAGAGTGGTTATAATAGCCAGACTTTTTAAAGTGAAATTGCTGCTCCATGAAAATAAAATTGAGGGAGGTAGAGTATGAAATGTAATCACTTTTACTTACATAAACATTACGTCAAAAAATGATAATATCTAACAATGCTAAAATATAAAGAATTTTATTGGAAAATGTGTGTTAGAGGTAGGAGCACCAGCATAAAATAAAGAAGACCTCGCTATTAATAGCACACTGTCTCTTTTATGTTCTCTGAGAATAGGGAGCCAAGGTAAAGAAGGGTCTCTCCGGCAATACTTAAAACATCCTTGATTTGGACCACCATTTTTGTTTTTTGTTTTTCTTTTGGGTTTGGATTTTTTTTTTTTTAACCAATAATGGAAAGTTACTTTTTCTCTCAACTTAATCTTGTACATACAACCCCTCAGGTCAGTTCTGACTAGCTTACACCATCTAATAAACATTTCTCAGTTTCCTAAATCAATTTTGCCAGGGGAACTGCCTCTAGACAAATTCAATCTCTTTGGATGATAGCTATTTTCAAAATAATTTAGAAGTTCCCACATAACTCTTGACATGTTTAGGAATCCCCAGTAGTTCTCATCATTTCTTTAGGGAAAGTAGAGTAAATATTTCATAAGGATGTCTCATTACTGGTAAGTCTAATTGCTTCAGTAATAACATTAAACCCTTTCAATTTCCTTCGGAAGGCAGTCTATACTGCAATAATACAGCTTTTTTTTTTTTTTTTTCTATTCCAGAGTTTGTGGTAGTTACAGAAAAATAGCAATGAGTGTTTCTTTAAATAGATGAGCAGTACTTGTGGGCTTTTAGTGCTAACATTCAGTGACCACTAATATCATGTCTTACCAGGAAAAAGTGTGTTTTATTCATTACCGAGTGGAGCACATCTTGAGACTCTCATAAACGGCTGCATGAAAAGTAGGGGCAAACTGACATTTGTCTGAGCTCTGCAGGATAGAAATTTACATGCATACTTTGAACAATTTTATTTTTTCTATTCAATTCCTTTAATGAATTATGAGATTTCTCCTAGCTTTGTCACTTGGGACTTCAAGCTGCTAAGCAGCCACAGGGAGTGTTACCAGAGATTACCCGGTGTTCAGAATAACTGAAATGAGAGGCCTGCATTTTGGTACATATGCATAAAGCATAATCTTAACTCTCCAAATAAAGTGGAAATCATAATACAGCTCTTTCTACAGTGTCACTCCCATTACACCATGGGAGGCAGCTCCCAAACTGCAGAGTAAGTTTCTTTAGGGACCTGTGCAGGACTTTGGTGCTACACTTGGGTGTGTCCTGAAGTAATGACAAGAAAAAGGAATTTTATATCATGCACAGAAGTAGAGGATTATTTCACTGGCACTGAAAAATAATTTAAAAATCACAATGATTTTTTTGCACTTAAATCACGTAATATCTGCATTACTAAAACGTTTAATGAAGATTGTATATATATATACATGTATATATACATACATACATACATGTACATGTATGTGTGTGCATGTGTGTGTCTATAAATGTGTGTATGCAGAGATTTGAAGAGAATCTTCAAATGTATTCTAAAAGAGTGTTTCATTTTCAAGTGTCTTCAGAATATCTATTTTCTCCAATTTTTTTGTCATTTTATATCTTTTTCAATCTTTCACAGTTTCCCTGAGGTATGTTTCTTACTTTGTTTCCTTGGCCATCTTCATTTGTCCCAAGTTTTCTCTTTTCTGATACTTTATCCACCATTTATGTGATATGGTTCTAATCAGTTTTTAACCTACTAATCACATTTCTCCAGCTAAACGGAGCCTTGGTTTTTAAAGTTGAAGAAACGTGAATGTCATAACAAAATATCTTATTTTGAGGGTCCTTTTCCTAACATTTAATTTATATATGTGCATACATAGTATTTTTATCAAGACCTGAAGTTAAAAATACCTCAGCTTGAATTTCTAGAAATTGGAAAACAAGTTTTTTTGTTCCATACTCTCTAATTTTTAAAAACTGTACCCTGTGTCTTGTACATAATAGCTACCTGATAAATGCATCAGAGTAGAATGAGTGATAAACTTTAGATAGATGTAATATCTCAAATAGACTTTGAGAAAGAACATATTTTACCTTTTGATGAACTGCAAAATCTTACAAATATGTGAACAATGTAGGTGAATTAAAGTTACAAATAATGTTTTCTTTATATCAAAGCTTTTATTAGAAAGGCAGAAAAATCAGATAATTCTAATTTGTCACTTCTTACCACAAGGCATGAGTAACTGTACATAAATGGCCTTGTTTTTAATGTTAATAATACTTAAAAGCAAAGAAAGTTGATACAAATAAAAATTTATAATTCAGAATAAAGTTTTACCAAAGACAGTCAGCTCTGCTGGGTCACTGTCTCTTTCTCCCACCATATTGGTACCAACACAAGTATACATCCCTGCATCACTTTTCCTGGTATTGGATATCATCAGTTTTCCACCACGGATCTATTAAAATCAAACAAAAAGAAAAGAGAAGGGAAAGAAAAGAGAACAAAATAGAAAATAAAAGGTCATTAATCGATAGTTTTGAGTATTTAAGCATATTTGTTTCCCAAAGGAAAAAATTACCCCATTATTTTGGCATTTGCAGGTATGCTTTCTTTTCTTAAATTCACCCTCAATATAAGTTTCCATATTTTCTTCATAGAAAATATTTCTTCAAGGCAGCAGTCCTCTCTTTCCTGATCCAATTTTGAGTCTTGTGACTGACCCCACTAAATTCCAGTTGTTAGTTTTCACACTGAAATTCATTTTAAGAAATTGTTATTGTCATTTGTCATCAGAAAGAAACACTAGATATTCCTTTTAAATAATCTAATAAAATCCAGCTGAATCAGAGGGATTCAATATATATATATATTTGGTATTTATAGGGGCTAGGTAGTATTCCGGACACTTGGGATACAGTAGTAAACCAAACAGTAAAAATCTTTGCCTCCCTAGAATTCACATTTCAGCTGTTAGTATTAATCATATTTATCTAATCTAATTGTATTTAAGAGATAATTCTTGGTGAAAACAGCAGGTTGGATAAAAACCATGACAATTTATAAAATGATGATATATATTGGTATAAATCATTAGCATCTAATAGGTTTCCCTTAAAGGTTTCTTAAATGAGAAGCATTTACTGACTGAAAAAAAAACAAATGCAATAATACTAAAATATATATTTGCTAAAGAGGACATTAAAGCAGAGTCAGGCTTTCAGTAAATGTATAACTCATAGTTTCTTTTCCAGTTTTTTTTTTGTGTGTGTGTGTTAATTTAATTCAATATTAGCTTTACAGTGATTGAGTGTTCTTGAAGAAATACAAGATAAGAACTTGTTGGTTTTCTCCGTTATTTTTTAATTTCACAGGCAAACACAACTCATGTAGGTTGGCTCTTATCAGAGACGTTTCAAGATTTACAACTTGTCATGTTATAGAAAGTGATTTTCAACTTTTTTTTTAACATAGGAGGAAAAGATCATCAACCTATTCTCAATTCTTTCTGGTAGAATGAAATGAGAGGTCATAAAAATGGCTACGAAGGTCATTTCTCCTCCATCTGAAGCTGAGAGCTAGGTAATGTGTCTTGATTTGACCAATGGAATGAAATCAAGAGTTTCACTGGAAGAAGGGTTCCTGTGAGGTGGAAATCTTGCCCAGGATTTTGGTAGCACGTAGTCAGCAATTGTCCTTATGTTAAAACTGCCCGTTTTTGTTCGTAACTGCCTCTTTCTGTTTCTGGACCTCAGCGTATCTCTTACTAACCGAAAAACCTTAAGAGAAACTGCCTCGTTGTCTAAAACCTGCTGCATTGTCTAAAGTCCTGAGTTAACTTCCCCCGCCCCTTTACCTATAAAAATGGTGTACTTTTCTTAGCTGGGGTCCAGACTTTTGGGTGTGAGCCTGGGCCCGCCGGCGTAACACAGTGTGCTCCTCCAATGCCCTGAGTGCCCTTGGGCTTCTTGTCAAGAAAGATTTTCCAGAACATTTGTTTCCCTGACCGGGAAACACAACCACGCTGGCCCTTTGAGCCATCGGTTTGGGGTTGGAAAGGATGGACAGCTCACCTGTTCGCTGCTGGGGAACGAGGCAGGGCCGCCCCCACCCCATAAGCAGGGCCTCGTTTCCTGGAAGGGGGACTGCTGCTGCTCCAGCGTTGCAGCTCGCTGGACTCGTGGGGGAGGCGGACTGAACCAAAGGGAACTCCAGATAAGGACCCTAGGCAGACCCATCTACGGATGGAAGGGGAGCTTGATCACCTCCCAGGGCATCCATTTGGAGACAGCAGGCAGATTTCCCGGGTTAGGGCGGGAATGTGATAACCTCTGCGAGAGTGTGTGAGTGCATGGGGAGCTCGAGGGCCTGCCCTTGAACCTCCAGTCTGTGGCTCAACGGTGCAAACTATGGAGTCTAAGGGGGCCCAAGCCGGCAGGTCAGTGGCAACTTCATAAGGCTTATGATAGTATCGAGCTGAGTGCCAGCTGAGCTCAATCCAAGTCTGGGGATTATGCCGACCTGCTGATGCTGAGAGGTGCCTAAGTTCCTGCAAGGGAAGTGGCAAGGTGGGCACCTGAGTGGTCCTTCACGGGACACCCCTCCTTTGTCTGTCTTAAGCCACCAGTCAGAATGGGACACGCATCATGGGGAAAAGTCAGGCTAAGCCCATGGTCCTAAATTGTATGGTCAAAACTTCAGGAAGGGCTTTTCTGGAGATTATGGGGTCAGAATGACCCCAGAAAAGCTAAAGACCCTCTGCAGATCAGAGTGGCTGGTGCTTAGCATTGGCTGGCCACCAGAGGGCACCCTGGATGTCTCCATAGTGCAGGCTGTTTTGAAGGCTGTGACCAGCAACCCCAGACACCTGGACCAGTTCCTACACATTGATTCCTAGTTGGAGATGACTTAGACTCTTCCCTCTTGGGTTTGACTCTGCACTGGCAGGAGTGGACAGTGCAAGATTCTCATGGCCCAAGCAACTAAGGGACCCAAGCAACCCATTCAACAGGGTGATCCCAAGGAGTAGCTGACACTGCCTTATGTGTTTCTGACACCATCAGCCTCCAGCCCACCAGCCTTGCCTGACACACACCCCACACAAAGGAGGGAGAACTGAGCATCCTCCTTTGCAGCTAGATCAGTGTGCATACTGCAAAGAGGTGGGACACTGGAAGAATGAGTGCCTCAAGCAGGCGGTCCCAGGTGCAGCACCCACCCCCAAGGGAGGGTAGAATACCAGCCAGAACCTAGCTAGGCCCATGTGATTGGCTTGGCCAGGATGGACACAGACTAGGACGGACCAGGCTCTATGAAACTTGGCCCCCAACAGCCCATGGTCAGGATGAAGGTAAGGTCACCCAGTGACTTTTAGGATAGACACAAGAGCAGAGTACTCAGTGGTCATCACTCCGGTTCCCCATTTAGCAACTGGAAGGCAACGTTGTGGGAGCAACAAGTACCAGATAGAGCCCCAGCCGTTCTGCCAAGATTGAATATGTCAATTAGGGGAGTACCAGGTACGCCATGAGTTCCTCTACCTACCAGAATGTCTTGTCCCCCTTCTGCGAAGAGACTTGTTAAGCAAACTGGGGGTGCAAATCACCTTTGAACCTAGGGGGCCAGCCACTCTGACTTTGAGTGAGCCAAAGGGGGGCCTGGTCCTGGCAGTCACACTTCCACATGAGGAATAATGAAAACTGCACACTGCAGAGAGGTCAGAGGAAAGCTCACCAGAATTCCTGGGTGCCTTCCCTGCAGTCTGTGCAGAGACGAACCTCCCAGGGATGGCTAAGGCCCATGCGCCACTAATAATTGACCTCAAGCCTAGAGCCCTCCCTGTCAGGCAGGGACAGTATCCAATACCCCTAGAGGCCAAGCTGGGAATTCAGGAATACATTTCACAGATTAGGAAGGAGGGAATCCTGGTCGAATGCCAGTCTCCCCGGAACATGCCTCTTTTGACAGTAAGGAAGCCTGGCGCGGCATATTGCCCAGGACAAGAACTGAGAGCAGTTAACGGTGCTGCAATCACCTCCACCGGGTTGCTCCTAACCCATATACTCTCCTGGGTCCGCTCCCCCCTGAGGCTGCATGGTTCATGTGCCTGGACCTAAAGGATGACTTTTTCTGCCTACGATTGGCACCAAAGAGCCAAAGAGCTAGCTGCTTTTCACCTTCAAATGGGAGGACCCTAAAACATGAAGGAAGACACAACTGACCTGGACTTGACTCATTTGCCCCAAGGATTTAAAAACCCTCCCACACTGTTTGGCAAGGCACTCGCCACAGACCTAGCTGCCCTCCCACAAGAGGACCTTAACTGCACACTGGTGCAGTATATGGGTGACCTTCTTCTTGCCAGCAGGGAGAGGGAGGACTGCTGGGAAGGGACCAAGGCGCTGCTGCAGCTCCTTACAGAGGCAGGATACAAAGTCTCATGGAAAAAGCCCAAATCTGCAGACAGCAGGTGAGGTACCTGGGGTTCATCATGACCAAAGGACACCAGTTCTTGGGACCAGAGAGAAAAAGGGTTATTTGCTCCATGCCCACTCCCAACACCAAGTGGAAGGTCCATGAGTTTCTTGGGGTGGCAGACTTCTGCCGGATATGGATTCCCAGCTTCTTGGACATAGCAAGGCCCCTCTATGGTGCCCTAACTGGACCGGAAGATAGACCTCTTGAGTGGAGTGATAGCCAAGACATGGCTTTCCCGGAAATCAAGGCACTGCTCCAAAGTGCCCCAGCACTAGGACTTCCAGATGTCACCTGAGAATTCAATCTATTTGTTCAGGAGAGAAACAAAACAGCACTTGGGGTCCTCATCTGGACCCTGGGCCTTGGCAGAAACCAGTAACATATTTGTCTAAACAGTTGGATGCAGTGGCTTCGGGATGGCTCCCTTGTCTCCAAGCTTTAGCTGCCACAGTCATTCTGATGAAGGAAGCTGACAAGCTAACCTTGGGCCAGACTGTCCATATCAAAGTGTCCCACTCAGAATCTACCCTTATGAGCAGTCAGGGGCACCGGTGGCTCTCAAATGCCCATTTAACCCGCTACCAAGGGCTGCTCTGTGAAAACCCATGGGTCACCATTGAGACTGTGTGTGGCCTCAACCCGGCCACATTTCTTCCTGTGGGGGAGGGGACCCCAGACCACGACTGTGAGGAGTTAGTAGATGACGTATTTGCTAGTCAGTCAGACCTCAAGGACTGTCCCCTCCAAAGGCAGATTTAAACCTGTTTACCAATGGAAGCAGCTATGTCAAAAATGGGCAGAGATATGCAGGGTATGCAGTCACCACTGCCACTAAAGTGGTCAAGGCAGTCCCCTTGCTCAGAGGCTGGTCAGCACAACGGGCGGAATGACATGCCCTCATTCAGGCCCTGTGCCATGCAGAAGGTAAAGTGGCCAATATTTACACTGACTCCAAGTACACCTTTGCAACTGTCCACTTACAGGGGGCAATATACAAGGAAAGAGGGCTGCTAAAAGGGAGGAAAAGAAATCAAAAATAAGGAAGAAATTCTCAGACTGCTAGAAGCAGTTTGAAAGCCCAAAAAGGTAGCTGTCATACATTGAAAGGGCCACCAAAGAGGAACTGATCTTATCTCTACAGGAAACTGGATGGCTGACCGGGAAGCTAAGGCAGTCACTCTGAAAAAGAGCTTGTGCAGGCCCCCCACCTTCTTCACGGTCACCCCTTTGCTCCGAGAGGATGCGGGAAAGCTGGAGCACTCTAAGGGGGAAAACCATGGGCATAGCAGGAGGGGGCAGAGCAGAGTGCTTGGGGATGGTGGCTACTCCCTGACCACAGACCGGTGGTACCCAGGAACTTGGTTCACACCGTCATAACTCAGTGCCATGGTCTCACCCACCTAGGTAAAATGCTTTGGAGAGCTAACTCAACAGGTATCACTATACTGCAGCCCTCCCTAAACTCTGTGCTGCCGTAAGCAAGCAGTGACTTATCTGTGCTAAAAACAACCCCCTACAGTGGCTGAAACCTGCCCCAGTAGTGCAGTGGGGGGGCGGCTACCCCGTTGAGGACATAGAGGTGGACTTCACTGAGGTCAAGCCCAGTAAAGGGTACAAATACCTACTGGTCCTTGTATGTACATACTCAGGCTGGGCTGAGGCACTCCCAACTAAGGCGGAAAGAACCGGGGAAGCAGCGAGAGTCCTACTTCGTGAAATTGTTCCCTGATATGGGATTACACTCACTATACACAGTGACAATGGGCCAGCATTTGTGGCAGAGAGCATCCAAGCCCTCACCAGCGTGCTCAAGGTTAAGTGGAAACTTCAGACAGCCTACAAGCCACAAAGTTCAGGGAAAGTGGAGCACATGAATCAAACCCTGAAGGTTATACTAGCAAAGCTCTGTCAGGAAACCCAGGCTTCCTGGGTAGATATGCTTCCCCTAGCCCTGTTGTGGTCACGGTGTACAGTGGGACCCGCTGGCTACTCACCCTTTGAATTCCTATTTGGGAGGCCCTCCTCTGGTTAACAAAGTGAGGGGGGACCTCAGACAGCAAGGGGAAATAAGCATAACATCCCAGCTGCAGTCATTGGGGAAGGTAGTGTCCCAGGTCAGTCAGTTTGTAATAGAAAGAACACCTATCTCCCTAGCTAATCCAGAGCATCTCTTCCAACCTGGGGACCAGGTCTGGGTGAAAAATTGGAAAAAGAAACCTCTCCAACCTGTCTGAACAGGGCCCCATACTGTAATCCTTGTCACCCCAACTGCCCTTAAAGTTGCAAGAGTCATTCTTTGGGTACACTATTCCAGAGTCAAGAGGGCCCACCCGAACACATCACTAGACCAGTGGACTACGCATCCAGACCCTCGGCACCCCACAAAAATCATGGTCGGGCGAGCTGAATCCTGAGAACTTGTAAAGCCCTGCTTTAGTCACACAGCGGGAAGGTGACTAGTCAATGCACAGCCGAAGCTTGAGGAATCTCTGCTGAATCAGCAAATGTGGACTGAAATCTTAATTCTTGGAACTATTCTGACAGCATTTGTTGTTCTACTGTTGTGCTGACATCATTGTCGTCCCTTGCGGGACATTCCTTGTCCATGTCTGGTGTAAAATGTCACTTCCTGTTTTGCTATTAATAATCTTCCTGGCCCTTGTCTTCAGCCCTTGCCCAGTTAACATACTCCAGCACTTCATTGAAGCCATGGTAATTAGAAAACCAAGTGCTCAGTTACTAGAGCTCCGTGAGTACAAGTCGCTAAGCACAGACGCTAGCGTATAAAAGGTGATGCTTCCTAATATCCATAAGAGAGCATCAAAGGAGGGGGTGAAATGGAAATCTTGCCCAGGATTTTGTTAGCACGTAGTCAGCAATTGTCCTTATTTTAAAACTGCCCGTTTTTGTTCGTAACTGCCTCTTTCTGCTTCTGGACCTCAGCGTATTGCTTACTAACTGAAAAACCTTGAGAGAAACTGCCTCGTTGTCTAAAAACTGCTGCATTGTCTAAAGCCCTGAGTTAACTTCCCCCGCCCCTTTACCTATAAAAACGGTGTACTTTTCTTAGCTGGGGTCCAGACTTTTGGGTGTGAGCCCTTCTGGGCCCGCGGGCGTGATAAACCGTGTTCCTTCAATCCCCTGAGTGCCGCTTGGGTTTCTTGTCAGGAAAGATTTTCCAGAACAGTTGACCACTGTGTCTTGCCTTCTCTTGCTGCAGCAACCCTGAGACCAACATGGGGACCAGACTGAACTAGCCTGATGGAAAATTAGAGATCATGAGGAGGAGAACCAAGATACCCAGCTGAGAGTCAACAAATTGCCAGACTTGTGAGTAAGGTTGTCCTGGATTATTCAGCTGCCAGAACACCTTTAAATAGGCAAGATCTAAATGCTGTAAACGTAAACTACCAATCCATAAACACTGATTTTACTCCATCATCAGTGAACATTTTCATAAATTTGATACCCAAGCAAGACCACTGAGAACAAAACTCTCTTTGCAATGTAGATATCACAGTGTTAACAGTCAAACTAGTTTTGGGTCTCATAAAACGATACCCCAAAATGTGGTGCTTTGGCTTTCTGAGTCCTTTAACTAAAGGAGATTGTAAGTCCTTAGAAACTGCCTCAGTATCAACGTCTGTCTGACTGACATTCCTTTGTTTCTCCCCTCCCCTTTGCCCCAAGAACAGAGAAGGGGGCTCTCTCAAGTTTCCTTATCTGTGTGAGAAAAGTCCTTCCAAAAGAAACACAATGGCCTTAAATCCCCTATCTGAAACCTCCTTAATCTGCAAAGATTAATCACAAAAGAAAAAACTAAAAGTCATTACCATGCCTATTGGACAGACTGCTCAACTGTTCTTCTTCCAGTTGTTATCTGAGAGACTTTATATAATAAGTCAACTTTTGTTTGCAGTGCAGTTCTGCCCCTCACCTTCCCAGAACTTGTCACTACATCTCCCAGAAGCCAGAAGAACTTCCTCTCAGGCTGTTGACTGTTTGTTGGATCTATTCATCTCCTCTGAAAATCGTTTAATCTTCCTACAAAATTGCAGAATATCCCCACTTTCCTCTATCCTATGAAGACGGTAATTAAGCTCCAACCATCTAGCCCTTCCTTGAGTTTTATGCTTTGTATGATTCCCTTGCACTTATATATAAATATATTTGTATGCTTCTCCTTCTATTAAACTGTCTATTGCCAGTTTATTTCAGCAGATTAAAAGACAAACCTTTAGAGGGTGAAGAGAAAAATTATCTTTGCCCCTATAGCAGAAACACATGAATATATGTTTTCATTTCTTCCATAGCCTATCTGGTTCTATTTTATATTGTAATCACACTATGAACATACGAAAAATCCTCATTTGTAATAAAAATATTTTTAAAATAGTAGTGGCACATTTACTCAGTCAAATGATAAATTATCTTAAAATATATTCACTCTCAGTTGTATTGAATATAAAAATTATACTACTGAATAATATCAGAAAGTTAAACCATTATATATACTATTTCTGTGAGATGGTTCTCACTTAAAAACCTCACATACAAATGTTGCATGGATCCTCTGAAGAAATAAAATAATTACATGCCATTTCCCTGTTTCTGTGTGTTTCATTTTGAATTTTAATCAACTGGTGAACCTCATCATCAATTTCCTTTGAAAACAGAGTTATTTTTCTACATGAGCTAACATGCAGAATCAGTCAGCTATTTTGAATTAGATATTATTTCATATCCATTCACTTTGCTTTTAAATCAATTCATGTATAAAATTTTACTGTTATAAATATTATTTAATTGGAAAAACTGGAAAAAAAGCACTTGAGATTTTCATCACCTTAAATTATTTTCACTTATAATTTTGGAAAGTGGTACGAAATTAAATGTAGTTAATATGGTTTATGGCTATCATTTATACTTTAAAACTCATACTGTGTGATCAATAGAAGCTTCTGGAGATTTTATAAAAGAGCTAAAACATCGATATTATAGTGTAAAGATACAATTCAGATTGGTGCAATTATTAATACTTCCTCTACACTTGATTTACATAACTTTTGTCTCTTTGTAGCTGCTTATCTCAATATTTTTAAGCCTTTTCAAGGCGTATAAATTGTAAGTAATATTCAAATACAATTATATTAATAGTAAATCAAAGAATAAAATACATCTATTTTAAGACTGAGAATTCAATCTCTGCGGGCCGTGATTTTAATTTAACTCACACTTATTCTTTCTTCCTTGTCATCAATTCGAACTTTGTCCTTTTTCCAGTAGATGGTAGGTTCTGGGTGTCCCCGGGGAGGTTGGCACTCCAGGATTGCAGGCTCTCCAGCTGCGACTACAACATCTGTGGGGTTTTGTCGGAAGTCATCTCGTAACACTGAGGAAACATAATTACAGGAAAAGAAAACTCAACGACAGTAACGGAAGCTTTTTGTCGTACAAGTTAACTTCAAATCTGGCTACCTTGTTCTAGTAAAAATTGCCTGGAGTTTTACTGAGAACATAGCTACATTCACCTTAAAATCTTCTAGAGCCAACATGAATGGCCATCAACAGAAGAATGGCTGACTAAATGATCATGCACCTTTGCTCAAAATTTCCGTTTTAAAAATGAAGTCTTAAAAAATGAGGAATATGTATGTACAGTTCTGTGATTGAATAAAAAAGCAAGGTGCAGAATCCTTCATTAGTATGATTCTATTTTCTATAAAGAAAATCACACACACACACACACACACACACACACACACACACACACCCACATATGCATGTGGTTTGTGAGCCTGCAAGCCTAATGGTCTGTAAGGGGAAGCGGGGTGAGAATTCTTTGAGAAAGTCCTTTCTCATGACATAAACGTAGACAAGATCCACACTGTTTTCATTATACTTCAGAAGACAGACTCACAGTTCACCCTTGTAGCATGCTAGCGCCCTCGTAGACAGGGCTACATTTTCATTCTCTCTGCATCTCCACCTGCCGAGTGACATCTGGGCAGCGTGACATTCAGGGCAAGAGATAACCCTTATAGCAGTTTTGCCTGTCTGAAATTTCCCTCCTTTCATTAAGGAGAACAGCAGGTTGGACCTCCACTGTAACCACCGAAAATCTGGCATGCCTAGCTCTCCAAATGTCACCTATCTATCTGCCTGTGCTTCTCTGCTCCTGACAAGATGAAAAGCCTGGAGAGGTGGCTCAGCCCTAACAGACTGCATTTATGTGATAAATCAGAGCTACACCAATTTTAGGGTAAACAGTCACAAAAGTAGTTAAAATCAGCAAAGGTACCATATACTACAACTGTCTCTGCTTTTCCTGACTGCCTTCACTATTTCTGCTCTTGGACATTCCAACCCTGACATGTTTGGTTCCAAAGTACCTCGAGGTAAAATGAAACTAAACACACACACACACACACACACACACACACACACACACACACACACGCATCAAGCTGTTGGAAATCAACATTAGGCAGCTTGTGCTAGCCTGTTATGTAAATCATGTGCTGCAGGTGGGGATTAGGTCAAACCAACTGCCTTCCGTGTCCTATAATGAGACCCACTTCAGCACTCTGCTTCTTTGTTGTGCCAAGTCTGTAGGTTAATTGTCATTCTCCAAATAAATAAAAAAATCCCTGTCCTTAAAATAGCTCCAGAGACAACTGAGTGACTTTTAGGGTTTTTCTTTTCTTGTCTCCTGCAACACATCCTTTAACACGGTTTTCCATCTTAATGAAGTCATGGCCCTTTATGAGATTAGAGAACCTCGTCTCTTAGTGAAGGAGCAGTAAGAAATAATTCAGCACAAATTGTTCACTCTCAGTTTATAAGCTGATTAATTTACTGCTTTCACTGCTAAAGAAATGTGTTTCATTTTAGCACTGTGAACTGCACATTTTTGGCCCCCTTGTCTAATTGGCAAGAAAGGTGTGATTTATATGTGTAAGGCTTTGCTTCTGAATGGGCTGAGGAAAGTGTGCATTTAAATGTGACATTCATGCAACTGATAAGAAGGGGTTAACCCTGTGGTTCCCTCTTGCAGGTAAATCCTCCTGGGAGAGCAAGCTGGTGATCATTTATATTCTAAATACAGAACAGCTGCCTATTTATGCAATGTTAAGAAGTGCAAAAATATGGTAACAGGGTGATGAGCACCCCTACAATATCCTGTACTGGCAACAAATGGTGTTTTGGCAGGCCCTCAATCTGTTCCAAAATGGCACATCTGGCCAGTTGAAGGGCCTTCTCCAGAACTGGTCTCCTGAAAAATAACATGCCAGAAAGCCTAAGCACAAATGGTGCTTAAAACCATTGCAAATCATTCAGAAATACAATGTTACACCAATTTGCTACAATCCAATTTTTTCTTAAAGGCCCTTTGACATGAGGGACAAAAAGAAGAAAAACATCATAACAAACTATAAGGACTGCTTCTCTTTAACAATAAAACATGTGTTTATGGCATTCAACAAAAAGCAGGAAAATGACTCCGATTTGCAAATGAAGCCAAGAAATCTAACATCAACTGTAATTTTAGGCTTTCAGACTATTCACCCAGAGAGGAGGGTGAGATAATGATATAATTGATACTGTACCCTCTTCAACTTGTAATATGCTCTTTGGGGTTTGTATGGTACTCTGTAAATTCGTCTGTGTTTAGTGATATCGCTTTTACCCTAAGTCTTCCGGATATTATAATATTTTCTTCTCTCTCTCTCTCAGGTAAAAAACATGCTCTTCAGCAGGTTCCAGGATAGTAAGACAAGAACTTATTTTAGGAAAAGGAGTAAAGTCATTTTTACTATTCTCAAATTTTAAAGGAAGATGTGTATGTTCTGATATTTGTTTATATGATTCTGAGGTCTGTATGCACATTTATAAATGTAAGGAAAGTAAGATGAAATATCATCTATCAATTCCCATTTTTCTGCTAACTATTAATTTCTGCCTTGTATCATGCCCTGTACTCTTTATCGTAGCTGATAAAGGAAAGAAAGCGTTAGCCACAGTGAAGAAGAAGTTCCAAACTCAGAGATCCGCTTGGAACCCCCTCCCTCTGTCAAAGAGCTTTTCTCCTTTGTGGATTAAATGTCTGCTCTTTTTTTTTTTTTTTTTTTTGGAGACGGAGTCTCGCTCTGTCGCCCAGGCTGGAGAGCAGTGGTGCGATCTCGGCTTACTGCAACCTTCGCCTCCCGGGTTCAAGCGATTCTCCCACGTAAGCCCCGCCCCGAGTAGCTGGAACTACAGAGGTGTGCGAACACGCCCAGCTAATTTTTCATATTTTTAGTTAGAGATCCGTTTTCAACGTGTTGGCCTGGATGGTCTGGATCTCCTGACCTCCTGATCCGCCCGCCTCGGCCTCCCAAAGTGCTGGGATTACGGGTGTGAGCCACCACGCCCGGCCTAAACTTCTGTTCTTAAACTTACTCCTTGTGTGTCCATGTCCTTGATTCCCTTGGCAGGAGGCAACGAATCCAGGGTATCACCCAAGACGAATGACACTGCTTCAGTGCCGTATTTCAGGGTATCAGTTTCTGAGCCCCAACAAAATATACAAGGGTTCCCTTTCTCAACACCCTTGCCAATACTTACCTTTCATGTTTCAGATAATAGATTTTCTAACAGGTGTACATTATACTCAGTAAATATATACAATTACTCATCAAATAAAAATTCAATTTTTAAAATTACATTAATAAAAGAAAAAGGATATAATAGGTACATCTAAGTTAGAATACAGGGTTTCAAATCTCCATGGGTGGGGTGGGGGAATATGTAAATAACTAGAACCCAAATACTCGTTTCTATATGTGAGCTGGAAAACACATATAAAGAGTTCACTCAGCTCGTCATAATATAACCTGAATTAGACTTAAATGTTTTTTACATTGGGATGCACCATGACTTAGGAAATTGTTTTGGAAAACTGGAACATTTTAAATTACAAGAGTACTTGATACAATATCGTTCATATTTATGACACAGAGGTTTTTAACAAATTAAAAATCTTCAAGTATGTATTGAATACTACAATGTGCTCAACACTCACCTGTGAACTGGTTAAGAAATACATGAACAGGAATGGCATAATAGCGCCTGTGGTAGGCCCTTGCTCTATTCTCCAATGCTCACTCCCTTCTGGTATTTACTCCCTTTGTATATCCCCTCCCCTTAGCATGAACTAGACTTAGTGATTTACCTTTGATGAACAGAATGTTACAAAGTGATAGGATGCCACTTCCAAGATCAGGTTATAAAAAATTGTGACGTTCATGTTTTTGCACTCTTTCTCTCTCTGTCTCTCTCATTGGGGCTTAGAAAATGATACCCCAAAATAAGCCACTTTAGACTTTAAACTAAGAGAACCCAGTGAGAAGCAAATGGAGGAAAGAGCTTTCTCTAACGATCCCCTATCTACCTAAAGATCCTATCCTCCAAAAGATATTCAATTATTTGGATTCCTTTCTCAGATATCTCATTAAACAGGGGAAATTGATGCATACTGCAGGAAGAAAGACCAGAGTTGACATTGTAAACAGAGCCCAGGGAAGCTTTGTCCCAGGCTACCCTTTGTTCCTCAGGCCCATTCATCTCCTGTAAAAATCACTTCTTCTAAAATTGGCTGTATTGCCCACTTCCCTCTCCTCTATGAAGAGAGAAATTAAGCTTCAAGTATTTAACCTTTCTTTCAGTCTCAGATTTTGTGTGGCTTCTATGCACACGTGTGCATAGTAAGTATGTAGCCTTTTTTTTCTCCTGCTAATATGTCTATTGTCAGTGTATTTGAGCAGACTAAGTTATTGAATCTTTAGAGGGAAAGTCTGAATTCCTCTTACTCTCTTCTCATATACTTCCTTGGATTATGCAGGGTGCCATGTTGCAGAATGGAGAAACCCATTTGACAAGGACCTGAGGTCAGCTTCCAGCTGACAGCTGGCAAGAAACCAAGGACCTCAGTCCAAAAACCCTTGAGTCACCACTGGATTTTGTAGTAATCTGTTATGAAGTAGTATGTAACTAGTAGAGTACCTTTAAAAAGCTTTATGTCCAGGCTACTCACGGTGGCTCACGCCTGCAATCCCAGCATTTTGGGAGGCTGAGGCGGGTGGATCATGAGGTCAGGAGTTCGAGACCAGCCTGGCCAATGTGGTGAAACCCCATCTCTACTAAAAATACAAAAATTAGCGAGGTTGCAGTGAGCTGAGATTGTGTCATTGCACTCCAGCCTGGGTGACAGAGCAAGACTCCATCTCAAAAACAAACAAATAAAAAAAAAACCCAAAAAACAGTATTATGTTCAGTTGTGATTTTAGAGCTTACATCTTTGACTCCTTCTTCCTTATATTCCCAGATTCGTTCCTACCCCAAACCTCTCTG